TGAGCTCAATCACAATTTTACACAATAACTGACTAGTATCAACATTACACATTTTACAAATACATCATTAAATATCAATTATTAAATATCATACATTAATTATATTGTGATTGCAGTTGAACCAATCATTATTTGTAATACATTCATTTAACTCATGTAAAGGTATTTATCAAATGTTCAATCCATAAATAATTAGATCATTCAATTCATTCAGAAAGCAAAAAATTTAATATAAAATCCCTGATAGATATTGAATTAATTGTTCTCTTTAGTAAATATACAAGAAAAACAGTATTTTCTATACACAACCTAGTTTAATAGTCTCAGATATGAATTCATAAGTGTCAGATAATTCATATACATATGTATTTATTTTAATAATCAGATCACATGTATAATAGTGTATTTTTCAAGTGACATAGATTGAAATCTTGAGAAACAATTTACATTATTATTGAAATAAAATCATATAAAATATATATCCATACTTTAAATAAAACTATTCACATACAAATACTTTAATTCATGCCTTTTTATTTTAATAAAATGCAAATTGTATTCTGTTTCTGTGTGAAAATCATGTAACATATCATATATTTATGATATAAAATTAATCAAATATTTTGTATGAGCTTTATAAACACAGCATTTTAAATTTAAAAATAAACATTACGATAATCTTTATCAGGAGTCAAAATAGTTTTACTTATACATTGACTTTCATTTATAAATAAAACTGTCTCAACCTTCGTATACAGATTATCAGATTAATGTTTATTTATGTAAGTACAGTATTGAATATTGAGCTCATAATTTTCACTTCATGGAGCATATTATTCTATTCTTTATTTGAAATTTTAAAAAAAAAGCATAGCAAGTCTGTGTAATTTACAAATCAAAAGTAAATAAAACATCATAATATTTATAATAAAGTTATTAATTAGTCAGTAATTATTATCAGAATTATTTTTCTGATAATTAAAAGAAAATCTGATTATTAATAAGTAAACAAAAACATTTGAGCATATGCATGGTTATTGTTCAATTTTTCAAACAAGACTTGATTTATTTTCACATTTTATTAAAAGTGAGCCTTTATTATTATTCTATTTGCACATTTTTTGATCTTTTTCTGCCTATTTTCTAATATCAATTTAAATAATTTAAAATTCTGTTGAATTATTTAAATTCAGGCAGAATCAATTAAATAACAGATCTCTGATATTTAAAATAATAATAATTTAAGAATAATTATTAAGATAAAATGCCAAAAGTCTACCAATAGTTTTCACAAAAAATTTTCCTTTACAATGTATAATTAATTACACATTAAAAACTTGTCTCAGATTAATATTTTTATCTCAGAATTTAATTTTTTGTTGAATTTCAAAACAGAAATTTTTCAAATACATGAAAGACATATAAACATACAAGTAATGAAATTAGAATTTCATTGTGTCTTGTACAGTATAATATACAAATTTTTGAAGATTTTGATTTTGGGCATTAATTAATATGTTCATTCTGTATTCCTTAATTTGACTTGCTTTCTTTATTTTAATTTATTTAAGAAAAATTTAAATAGCAAATCTTATAATTTTTCTTAAGAATGTGAATTAAACAGAATAATGCCCAAATTCTTTAACAGTTCACGAAAATTGATATTAATAACTGTTGATAAATACAATCTGTTATCATATTAATCAACAATTATTAAAGTAATTTATAATTAAAAAATCCTAAAATTGTGTTTTTAAGTACAGTAAAAAACATATCATGATATATCTTAGAGTTTGTGGAAAAATTTCTGAAACGTTGTTCTGACTTTTGAATAATCCTGTATATAATAATGACTATACAAAGAGTGATCAAAAAGTGACGCACGTGTGTTATGTATCAATTTTATTTTGTGAGGCAAATGTACAAAAATACAGNATCATCTGTACTGAGATTCTCATTGTTCTCATCATCTGTACTGAGATTCATAGAAAAGTTTTCTTAAGAATATTTCCAATCCTTTTCTCACACAAGAGAAAATGGGTTAGGGGCGTTGGGTATAACTTTATGGAACAAAGGGGGCGGTGGAGCGAAAAAGTTTGAGAATCACTGGTCTAGCCAAAGCAACGCTATGGTAAGTTGTGATTCAGGTAGCCCCGAACGAGTCGGTGGAAATGGGGAAATGCCGTCCCGTTGGAAAATGAAGTCATTACAGTCTCCTTCAAGCTGAGACGTTAGCCACTGTTCCAACATACCCATACGAACAAAAACACCAAATCTACCCGTTCTGTTTTGAAAACGACACTTGGACAATGTATCGTTCTATTGGCGGACAACATATCATGATATATCTTAGAGTTTGTGGAAAAATTTCTGAAACGTTGTTCTGACTTTTGAATAATCCTGTATATAATAATGACTATACAAAGAGTGATCAAAAAGTGACGCACGTGTGTTATGTATCAATTTTATTTTGTGAGGCAAATGTACAAAAATACAGAAGGTAGTAAAAACAGTTTATAATCTGATCTTTAAGAAAAACAAATCACATTATTGCAATTCTACAGAGAACAGCGATCTGCCATACAAGACTTAACTTCAACAGAGTATCCTATAGTATCTATAGAGAAATATTCCGGCTAGCCAACGTTAATATTGCATTTAAGTCCAACATGCTTTTTCTTGCTGAAGAATGACAGAGTTATGTGAACGATTTTCACTATCTAGCGTTTACACAATTCTTATTTTTGATAACAGTTTAAATCGGCACTGCGATTTAAACTGTTAGTACATGGAACTTCCTGCAGACTAAAGAAGCATCACGGAATGATTTGTGCACAACGGCCTTTCCTCATGACAATGAGTCCGAGTGGTCTTTGATAACATATCACATCTGTTCCTGCATAGCTCAAGTTGCAATCTCGAAATTTACAAAGTGACTAACGAGTAAAAAAGGTTTCGCCGTTAATTTTAAGGACACATCTTCAGTAGCGCATGCATGGAAAGCTCTTATGAACATTAATCATCTTTTTTTTTTAATTTTTCGTTATGTTTAGTTTAATTTTTCTTTTTATTTGTACTTATATACTGTATGTACAATACTTTATCTGACCCATTATACTGTTTTGTAATTTTATTTTATTTTTCTTCAACATTCTTTTGCACATGCGACCACTAACACGAATTTAACGATTTCTATTTTATCAATATTTAAATTTTGCTCTATGTAACATTCCTGAGGATGACTGTTAAAGACAGTTGAATATGTTTCTTATAATAAATTGGTTAATTTTAACTAGATTACAGGTGTTAGTTGATGCTTTTAATGTAATCTCATTCAGTTTTGCAGTATATCTTTGCAACATATTTTCGAAGTGGTCTCCTCATTCACGAGTGCTCTTTTTATCGCTACTACGTTTGATGCTACATTATGAAGCATCTGAAACTGATTCTATTTATCGCCTTTATAATGTTCCTCTTTTGTTCGTCTATTGTGTGCGGGTTATTTTTATGCACGGCGCCTTTGAGGATTTTTTCCCATAGGAAAAAGTCCGACGATCGTGGGGACCACAATCCTTCAGAAATAAGACGTTCGTCAAAGAATTCTCACAAAAACTGTAGAATCTTGATATTTATGAAAATCGTCTACAACACATGCATAAAAGCAATGACGAAATAATGCTCAACAACAAAAATCCGTTGTTCGTGGGGAAAAACCATTTCACTTCCTCAGTAAACAAAGCTGTACTACAGTCAATTTTATGACTTTCACACAAAATTCAGTGTTTCTTAATAGTCAGCAGTCACTATAGTGTGGCTTTTGTAGCGGGAGACAAAATAAAAATAACTTGACACAATTTACCAAATTAATTTTTTGATATGCGCGACTTTTCGATACCTTGTACAGTACATTAGAACACAAGAGATGTGTAAAAATCAAAAATATTAAGTGTTGAAATAGGATTATTCTAGATTATTCTGGCAGAATAACAACAAATCTTATATAAGTATCTAAACAATATTTCAATAAGTTGTAATGAATCGATCTTTATATACATTACAATATTTACAAATATTTTTAGCAATGTATTTTGATCTCCACATTGGCCAAATAAATTACTGTATATTCTAACGAGCGATTATTTCTTGAGAGATCGTCACAATGTCGGGCTGCAATTTTTAATCTATTTACTTAGCGAAAGGATAATTGTTTATCTAATATGTAAAATGGACCTTGTAAGCTACAAAAAAGTGGCTATTGAATTTTTACAACTTCCAGAAACCCAACAGAGTGCCTCGCCAACCAAAATATGTGAAATGTTACGAATAAGCTCGCAAAATTGCATTGAAATCTTTTGATAAAAATCACTAAATTGTACCACGACAGTAGAATAGACAACACAGCTGAAATAAATGGGCGTCGTTCCTCGCTTTTCACTTTTACTAACGCAACTTTTCAACTTTTCCACAGTTGGAAGAAATTCAGAAAATCGAGATTTTGTAATTCGCGGATATCACGATAAGTACTGAACATCATAATTTGTTATAGCGGGAAGTCAGGTATCGGGATATGGCTGTATATTACTAAAAATTCTCGTAGATATAAGCAGCATAAGAAACACAATACTTTTAATCATTTGGAGTTTTAAATTCTAATGGAGTAAACTTTACGAAATTTGACTCCATAATCCGAAACCGAAATTCGTACTCCTTGTTATAGTAGTTCATTATGTAAAGTTTTTCCTGCATAATTAAACTATTTTCTTACTATAGCTTCTAATGAAAGAAATTATAATTTGAAACGTTTCAAATTTGTCATTGTGCCATAATAGGATTTTGTTTATTGAATACTGTAGACCTACATATTTCTTTAAGTGATCATTAATTACCAATGCTTTGAATTTTAAAAAAGTCCTGACAGAATGAGAGAGATTTTTTGATACAACACCACGTACATTTTTAGATTAGCAAACCCATAAAAGTAAAAATAATGTAATACATACCTTCATTTACTGTATTTTAATAAAAGTATTTCCGTTCATATTTTAAATTTAATGAAATTTCCATTTAGCAACATCTATATTTTCTCAGAGACTTAGAAGAGATGATCGCCCAATGCAGATGATCTTCAAGAGTTGTTCTATGTAATGAATATTTAAATTATGCAAAGACGACATCATATTATACAAATATGACGTCTTCAATCTAAGTTTCTAAACTTAAACATTTAACGTTTATTGTTTGATATTTCTAAAATACCATTTACTGTGTCATTAAGATGGTGTTAAAATTAAAAGTTAAACATTAAAACTTTTTTACTAAAATTCACTATTATGATATTAAATTTCTATCCTAAAACTTAAAAAATATTCCTGTTACTTTTAATAATAACAATATCTAAATTTTGGAAAATAAAAATCAAAATCACATAAATTTTACATTTTTGATTTATTGTTGTTTGTTAAGATTAACATCTTTGAAAACTGTTCATTTATAATTTTTTTAAATTCAAATTTTCATTTACAATTTATCACACCAACTGTTGAAAGATTAATATAAGAAGATCTTCATAAACTGCATTTCAATATTTTTAATCATTATATAATTGAAAATGATAGTTACCTACGAAAAAAAATAAGAAAATGTTTGAATGTTCGATTATCTTTATTTAATATTTAAAGTAAAATAACCTTGTATAAATAGAAAACTGATAACAAATACGTAATTTTTTGTAAGAAACATTTCTCCATGTAGTTTTCTTTCTCCAATTAATCCATAAAATTAATTTTTTATTTTTCTTCTTAAAATTTATCTAACATTGTTTACTTTAATAAAGATGAAAATAAACAATGCCAACCAATGCATGCAGGAAATATTAAAAGATACAATTGATTCTCAAAATTCTAATTACTCACCCAGAAAACAGGATTTTGTGTTGCAAGATAAACAGAATGAGATGTTTAATAAAATTGCAATACCCTTTCTAATACTACTTAGATAAGCAATATATGATCAAAATTATTGTTCAAATGCATAAGAAACAGATTTCATCTCTCTCATTTGGTTTATAATATTACATTACAGTACTGCAAATCTGACTACAAAAGTCAAATTATTTTAAGAATAGAAAACATGGAAGAGGGCATTAAAATATCAAAAAAAGTCACATTGAATGTGTTTAATTTGAAATTTTACCACACTTACAAATCTATCATTACATTAGAATTGTTGAAGTAATAATTATAAGTATAATCTAGAAGCCAATGTATATGTCTACGAAAACAGTAATAATAAAATGCTAAACTTTAATTTTTAATACATTCTGTTGTCAAAAAACTGAAATCAAGTTTTACAGAACTAATAATTTCAGTATTCTGAGATTTTGGAATTTCCTACTTTATAAGACTGGGACATTGTTCATACATAAACTGTAAAAAAAGCTCTCATTTACTTGCTAGGAAGACAATTTTATTTTTAATTTGTTAAGATTATTAGCAATTTTACATAATGAATTTATTATTATATCAATATTTTATAATGATAATTAATCCTAAATAAATGCTTAATCCTTAAATATTTCCATTTTAAATAAATAATGCAGAGAAGTTTGAAGTAAATACATCTTTTAATATATTGATTGATTAAAAAAGTTTTTGCAATGTTAAATAATGGAAGTTACTTGGCCATAATATAACATTACTATTTCTGCTTTCAATAAAAAAAATTTGGTAACAATTAAAATAAATCACCTCAAAGTGAGAACAAGTTTTAAATTTATATCTGATTTACTTAAAATGCATGAAGTTACTAATCGATTTGTCTGAATCCCTTTCCTAACTTGATTAACATACTTTTTCATCTACCTATTCCATCAACCTTCTACCATTAATGTCTCACTCTTTTTCGCTTCACTTCAAATTGATTATTTCTTGAAATAAATATCACAGCATGTACAGTATAAGGAAAATTTCCAAGACAATAAAAACAGTATTAATTATCATTCCAATACTATTTCTAGAATTTGAATTACTTCTGCATTTATAAAGCAAACATAAAAACTGAATACTTGACAGATTCATTAGTAATTTTTTAAAATTATCATATTAACCAGTAATTAAAATTTCTTTCAGTTGAAAGTAAAAAGAACAATGATGTTAAACAATTATACTAAGAAATAAAATGAATACTTCTAAACTTTGTCAAAGTTGTTAGAGCAACTGGATATATTTAAAGTTAAAGATCAGTGCTAACAATGACAAATCATCTAATACAAATCCCACAAAGATTTTTAATTCAGGTAGAGAACAAATGATCTTCAGACCACCCATGCAACCTTCTGTTAGCTTCTAATGCAACATGATAAAATATAAAAATGGCATAAGTTTAATTTTGTTGTCATAAATTTTGAATTATGGAATTCTTATTTTCTGTTCTTTTTTTAAAATAATGAATGTATTATATGTTTTTTTATCCATGCATGCTAAATGCATACACTTATGCAATCTGTAATACAACAGCAGCCCTCTAAAATGGAATAAGGCCCTCCAATTAAAAAATCTTCATTATCTCTATTCTAATGTATCATTAAAAATCTGATCAAGAAAATTCTATATTTTAACAAATGTAATGTCATAATTATTAATTTAGATTTAAATAAAATTTAATAAAAAATGAGTAATTATTATATAATGACCCCAAATCTGTTCTTAAATTGCATGAATTTATGAGAACCAAATGTACTTTCTTTTATAAAACAAAGACGATTAGTAAACCAAATAAAATTAATTATGTGGATTAATTATTTTTATAGGAATATTTATGAAAAAAATGTAAGTATGTATTATCTAAAGGAAACTCATATAATTTAGAATTCTTTTAATTTGCATTATCAAAATTTTTCCAATTAGGACTAGACAATAATGAAATGTAGTAATTATACAATAGTGATTAATTGTATAATGACTTCTTATTCTTATATATATATATCTGAATTTTTACAAAATATATAATAATAATAAATAAATAAATGTAAAATATATCACTTAACATGCTTTAAATAAGTTTTTCTGTAAATATATTGAAAAAATACTTATTATAATTGAAACATATTGTGACCAAAAAACATTTAAATACAATAACAACAATGTTTAAATTGAGCTAAACCACAACAATATAATAAATTACTAATTATTTTCTACTAAAAAATTATTAATAATTTTTTTAATAATATGGCACAAGATAATTTGTATTTTTATTTTAACAATTAACATAATATTAAGAAACATTTTCTAACTTTTTTACACATTTAAACAACAAACCTAACTTTAAACTGTGAGCGAGTGAAGTTTTGAAGTTATTTTAACAGCTGATTCTTGCTCAATGCAAGTTTTACAAATGGAAAACTTTAATAAAATTATTTTTTTAAATATTTTATATACATATGTACTGTATATTTATATATATATATATAGATATTACAATATTTTGCAAATATATAACTAGAAAAAATAGCTTTTAACTTTTGTTTGACTCGACATTATGTGCAAATATATATATATATCAATACTGGACTAGAATATTATCTTAATTTTTCAGATTTTCAACTGTACATCATTAATTTTTATTATCACAATTATATTAAATTATCTCACTATATTAAAAGATGAGAAAATATATATTATATATTAAAAAAAATTAATCTTAGAAATTAATTCAAAAAATGAAATTATTGTATATTAAGTGTTATATGTAAAGAGAAGGAATAAATTAATCTCTTATTATAATAGTTTTAAAAATTCATAAAATATTGAAACGAATAAATTTAATTATAAAATAAATTAGAAAAAAATAATAAAGCCATAGGAAAATAAAATTTGTAAACTCTGCTCAAAATCAACTGAATTGCTTAACTATACAGAATAATAATAATAATAATAGTAATAGTAATAACAATAATAATACAGTAATAAGGATCGTCGAAAAGTGATCATGCATGCTGATAATTAGAATTCAAAATTCGAAAAATTTATAAAGATTCTAAAAATTTGAATATTTGTTTTTGTTTTATCTACAGCACCATTAAAGGCATTCATTACAATTTAGTTCAGAAGTAATATCTAAACACAATTTCCTGTTCAATTATTGGAAGATAATCCAGGTAGACTGCAAATGGAAATTTTTGCCTATTCTAGGTAGAATCAGAGCATATCAGTCTCATTATCTTGCAGGAACTTGAAAGAGCCATGAGGTTTCCAATGCACCTGCATCACTTCCTGAGCAGAGTCTACAAATAATGTAAAATTATCTGCGTTACTGTTTTGGTCATAATTTAACTGCGTTTGTATTTTATTGATATTGAGAAAATATATAATTAGAAAAACAAAATTATATCTCAAAAATTTTATAAGAAAATATTTATTTATAATAAGATATATTTTTAAAAAAACTGATTGAAATTATGTTTGAATTTTAATATTTGTCAAAAAAAATCATTAGAAAGATTCTAAAATAAATAAATTTTTGTACATTTAATTTATGTATATATATATAATAAAGATGTGTTAATAAAAATAATTAATAACTTAACAATAATATTAAATTACATTACATTTATTTTATATCAAATTGTCTTCTACATTAATCTAATTAAACATTTANTATGTCTATAACAGCATACAAATAAACATAAATGAAAACTTATATATAATTTAATACAAAAAATTAATTTTTATTGTAGCAATGGGTTATTTATTAATTATATTTCTCCAAACATTGAACAACAGCAAAACATTTTAGAATCTGATACTCTTTGTCAAAATTTCAATATGTTTGAAAAAATTGATGATAAAATCTAAAAAAAAATTGATTAAAACATTTTAAATTTTCTTAAAACAATCCCATTGCTCATTTTGTAGAGATGATTTAAAATTGATATTAATAACTGTTGATAAATACAATCTATCATCATATTAATCAACAATTATTAAAGTAATTTATAATTAAAAATCCTAAAATTGTGTTTTTAAGTACAGTAATTTTTCTAATCAACATTGTTATTGAATTAACTTTCAAGAAATGGCCAATATAAAACTTTTAACAAATTTTTTGTATTATAGAAGAACATCAGTTATCCAAAAATTTAAAATTATATAGTCTAAACTTTTTTTGTGCAAAAGTGTGAAAATTTGTGTTTTTATTCTTTATTTTTGCTCTTTCTACTCTTTGTGTACTTTTTCAGGCCCACAGAATCTTTTTTCAGAGTCATTTTTTCATTGTAAACAAGATCTTTTTTCATGCTTGTTATGGTTTGGCCAGACATGTAAGAAAGTGGATGGGTGGTGAAGGATGAGACCTGACATAACCAGAACACACTGTCTATGAAAAATTCTGAAGGTTACTCCTCTGGACTTAATCCTGGATTCCTAGAGTGGTAGGATTATGTCTTAACTGATTTTGCCTTTAGTTTTTTATTTAACATGATTATTTATGCTTCATTAATTTGCTAACATCAATATTTTTATAATTGGTATTTCCATATAAAAATTTTGAGAATATTTATGATACAATTTTAGGAATATATGCATTATCATTAAAAAAACTCAACTCTGATTTACAAAAAATCAGAACTAACTTCTAAAGCAATTTTAAAAACTTTAACTTTACGACAATATCAGAAATACAAAGAAACTTATTAACATTAAATGTTTTTATATGACATACTTTCTAAATAATAATAGTCAGTTTCTATGAAACTATAAAGAAATATTTGTTGCATAGTTGTTACTCTAGTACTTAATTAGCTTCTTAACAATTCAATTTTAAAATCCAATATAAAAATAATTCAAATTTGCAGTGATTTTATTAATTTTATAGACAAAATGCAACTATTAACTTTTCTCTTGTCTGCTTTAATCTATTCCCTTCAAATATTACTAAACGAGAAACATGGGAGATAGAAAGAATTAATTTTTAATGTTCATCTGATCGAACTGTCAACTATCAGTTTTCGGATTACAGAATCATAGGCATAAAGTATAATTTATATTACTTTCTGGTATGGTTCACACAAAACTTTTAATAGGCCTATCAGTGGCTTAATTATAATTTTGAACTCATGAAAAAATTTTCAAGAGTGTCAACTACTCTATTTTCAATAGTCATTTTTTTTATATTGCAATAATAAACTTTTTATTTGACAGTTTTCATTTCATAGTAATAATAAGTGATTTTATAATTATTATTAAAAACTGTTTAAATTGTTAAAGCAGTGTGGGTCCCAGATCTCTGAAGCTTTCCAATCACTGCAAACTTCAGTGAAACCTAGTTATACCACTGACTTACTGTATATGTTTAATAATTATCAGCAGCATGCTACCAATTACAGTCCAGTTAGAGTTCATCCAAACTGTCTCAAATTTAGGTTTCATATCAGTAATTCATATTAAAGCTAAATATTATTTTGATGAGACTGTATCTAATTAAACACTTGAATTCAAGTGCATGTTGGCTTGAAATTATTAAAATATAAAAGTGTGTGCAAACTTTTCAAATGTATATAAAGCTTATTAAAAAATCTGAAATGTTTCAAATGCTTTCAAATTTCAAATTAACTATATTAAGACAATATATTTAATATGTAAAAAGGCAAATAAAAATTCAGAAATATCAATTAAAAATGTCTTCCTGTCACCTTTTATGAATCAAAGCAAAAGAATAAAACTATAATGTACAATTCAATTTGTTTAAATAGTTTCAAATATTTTTATATTTAATTTTCCAATTAATTTGGACAACTGATGTTCTACTTTAATTGATAACATCATTTAAATTTATATTCAAGTAATATATAATAGATATAAAAGATTTTACCATAATTAACTTGAGCTCAATCACAATTTTACACAATAACTGACTAGTATCAACATTACACATTTTACAAATACATCATTAAATATCAATTATTAAATATCATACATTAATTATATTGTGATTGCAGTTGAACCAATCATTATTTGTAATACATTCATTTAACTCATGTAAAGGTATTTATCAAATGTTCAATCCATAAATAATTAGATCATTCAATTCATTCAGAAAGCAAAAAATTTAATATAAAATCCCTGATAGATATTGAATTAATTGTTCTCTTTAGTAAATATACAAGAAAAACAGTATTTTCTATACACAACCTAGTTTAATAGTCTCAGATATGAATTCATAAGTGTCAGATAATTCATATACATATGTATTTATTTTAATAATCAGATCACATGTATAATAGTGTATTTTTCAAGTGACATAGATTGAAATCTTGAGAAACAATTTACATTATTATTGAAATAAAATCATATAAAATATATATCCATACTTTAAATAAAACTATTCACATACAAATACTTTAATTCATGCCTTTTTATTTTAATAAAATGCAAATTGTATTCTGTTTCTGTGTGAAAATCATGTAACATATCATATATTTATGATATAAAATTAATCAAATATTTTGTATGAGCTTTATAAACACAGCATTTTAAATTTAAAAATAAACATTACGATAATCTTTATCAGGAGTCAAAATAGTTTTACTTATACATTGACTTTCATTTATAAATAAAACTGTCTCAACCTTCGTATACAGATTATCAGATTAATGTTTATTTATGTAAGTACAGTATTGAATATTGAGCTCATAATTTTCACTTCATGGAGCATATTATTCTATTCTTTATTTGAAATTTTAAAAAAAAAGCATAGCAAGTCTGTGTAATTTACAAATCAAAAGTAAATAAAACATCATAATATTTATAATAAAGTTATTAATTAGTCAGTAATTATTATCAGAATTATTTTTCTGATAATTAAAAGAAAATCTGATTATTAATAAGTAAACAAAAACATTTGAGCATATGCATGGTTATTGTTCAATTTTTCAAACAAGACTTGATTTATTTTCACATTTTATTAAAAGTGAGCCTTTATTATTATTCTATTTGCACATTTTTTGATCTTTTTCTGCCTATTTTCTAATATCAATTTAAATAATTTAAAATTCTGTTGAATTATTTAAATTCAGGCAGAATCAATTAAATAACAGATCTCTGATATTTAAAATAATAATAATTTAAGAATAATTATTAAGATAAAATGCCAAAAGTCTACCAATAGTTTTCACAAAAAATTTTCCTTTACAATGTATAATTAATTACACATTAAAAACTTGTCTCAGATTAATATTTTTATCTCAGAATTTAATTTTTTGTTGAATTTCAAAACAGAAATTTTTCAAATACATGAAAGACATATAAACATACAAGTAATGAAATTAGAATTTCATTGTGTCTTGTACAGTATAATATACAAATTTTTGAAGATTTTGATTTTGGGCATTAATTAATATGTTCATTCTGTATTCCTTAATTTGACTTGCTTTCTTTATTTTAATTTATTTAAGAAAAATTTAAATAGCAAATCTTATAATTTTTCTTAAGAATGTGAATTAAACAGAATAATGCCCAAATTCTTTAACAGTTCACGTTAAAAATCTAAATATTTTTAATACTTTAAAAGTAAATATTAATTATTATATAATAAAGTTTTTATTTTTATTAATTTAAAGTTTACTCAATCCTGTCTTTTATATATATATGAATAGAATACATGATAATTAAATTTTAAAATTAACAATCATTAAGAATGTGATTATTTTATTTTTAAAAAAATGTATTTAATACAAGCATAACGAATTTAACATCACATACTTTACAACTACAAACAACTCAAACTGAAAACTTTAAATTATGAATAAAAGTATCTTTCAACTCTATGAGCTTGCATAATTGCAATACTAGCCAAATGTCATTTTATTAATGTGATATTTTAATTAATTTAAAATATATCTATATAAAAGTAACTAAATATTTTTCAGTTTATAGTTTATATATATATATCTATTTGATATTAAAATTGTGTTTGAAAATATGACATTGTTTTCTTTTTAATTTGGACTTTTTCAACTTAAGCATAAAAAAATAAAGCAGAATTATGAAATTTCTCAATGTAAAATTTTTTGAATCCTTTTCTAGCTTTATATATTTCTAAAACTACATTTTCTCTTGTCCATATTTTAATATTTCTAATATTTGTCTTCTTTTGCTGGATAACATTTTGAACATTACTGTGCATTTGAATGCTTTAAAATGGTTTGTAAAAAGTGTTTTTTTGTTATAAGTTTCCATAAAGATAGACTTATTCAATCCAAAAATACTTTGAAAGTAAGTTGTGATG